TATATTCCCTAATTTTTCATTTTACATAATTATTTATATAAAACATGTTAAACAATTATTGTTAAAAAATAAGAAGTATAAGTTTTGATAATTAATATACAACTATTTAAACATTATATTAACCATCCTATCACACATTCCTTAAATTTAAATTAAACCCTCATTTCTCTCCTTCCCGTTTCTACGATCCCTCATTTTTCTCCATCTCCTCCTCCTTCTCATTTCAACCACCTCCACCTTTCTTCCAAAGAGCCCTAATTTTTCTCCCACCACTACCTTGACTTCATGGTCTCTCTCTAAATTAGATTGCTTATAACCGATACGCCCTTCACATCTGTCTCTCATTCATCTTAAATCCATATCTTGTATCAGAACTAGACCCTCAAATCATTCTCTGATCTCTCACCTTTAGTCGAAGACTACTCGAGCGTTATCTCACATAACTACACGAACGGTATTTCATTATCTTCTTCTTTCATTCTCTTTGATTATAATCTATACAACGATTTTAGTGGATTTTTGTTTCTGTGAAATTCTTAAGACATTACATGATGTGATCTTGGTCCTTTCTCAGCTAGATTCATGGGTTATCATGATGTTTATTATGTAATTAGGAATTCTTTTTTCAGAAAGTTAGTTAGATACGAATACCAGAAAACTTGTATGTTGATAGAATTCATCCCTTGACCTCAAAAAAGAAATAGAGTGTTATCTGATACAGGAAATCCTCTACATCCTTCTTCTCTCAAATACGATCAAGGGTTTTTTGGTTTGAAACCATATGGAATGATAGATTAGGGGAGAAAAGAGGGATTCCTAACGGTAAACAACAGGGCGAGGGGAAACCGTGTTGTATGTTGTTGCGCAGTGATGAACCAAATTTTAGAGTATCATCATTCCTTTATATGTTAAGAGGGTAAACTAAAGTCATCTTGGTCTCTACTATTGTCATCCTCAATTAAAAATCCTAATTTTGCTATAGGTGTTGATGTTATTATAGCTCGGTAATATATGATTCTCAATGGAAGAGATGATTTGTGCCCTCACAGTGCCAAAATTTGCGAGAAATCATTTGTGTTTACAACCTACCCATGACTAGCATGGCCATATTAACATATCTTTTTGTTTCATTTGTTAATTCTTATGTACTCGACCAACGGACGACTATAACACTAGTTTCTTGTTGTACATGATTAGTACGTACGATGTAATCGCTTCGTTCCAAATTAAGTGTCCATAATTAAAATGTCATAGAGTCTTAGATAAAGCATTATTATTACACCTTTTTGTTAGTTAAATGACATGTTTACCTTTATTTAATTTCTCTCTTTTCACAACTCTCAAATTTTTGTGCATTAATAAAGGGTAAATTTGAGAATTTGGTTATTTATTTTTAAAAGTGGACACTTATTTTGAGACAAACTTTCTCATAAATGTCGACATTTATTTTGGACGGAAGGAATACTATTTTATCATAGGATTAAATGGCAACCTACTTTTAAAAAATTTGTTAAAGTATTGTACTTTTATTTTTCTGTATCACAATAATGCACTTTCAAATTATTTTCTGTTAAAACATCATATTTTGAAAAATCTATCTATTATAACAATGGTAGCTTATTACCTTTAAACCGGTTAACCTTTTACTTTTTTGCTTACTTGGTTTAAATCAGGTGATGTAGATAATACATCATTTTGATGACATGACCAAAATAAAAATAAAAAACCCTATTTTAAGTAATTTTTAATGGTTTTCTCACTTTTCATTTTTTGTCGATTTAGAAAAAAAAATCTAATTTTTTTTAATCTAGAATAAAATATTTCTTAAATAAATATAAATATATTATTTTCAAGAAAAATATTTTGTTCATAAAAAAGGTAATACTTCTTATTTTATTTTATTTAAAAATACATATTTTTAACTTTGTTTTTAAATGTTAGCGAGATAAATCGTGCTCTACAAGTTTTCTTAATATTGTTATACTAATAAATAGCTCAAAAAAATATAATTAATTTAATATATTTATACGTAAAGTGAATTTTTAGCAAGTATATTATTTTTTTTTAAACATTTTTGTAAAAAAATGTCACAATTCTTATTCTCTTTGTTCAATAAAAACCAATTTTTGGGGGAATTTGGATTCGAGTTGGGTTTGATTTTTGGCCACCCAATCAGTCCAAAAACCTGAAATATATATACATATATATTT